TCCTCGCCGGCATCGTCAGTGAGTCTTGACTACGATGCCGGCGAAACGTCTGTGAATGTACCACGTCCACAGTCCTACTCTGGAAATGGACCTCGGACAAGGTTTGTTCCTCTAAATCTTCCTACCAACATGACCAAGTTGCGAAAACAAGGTCAAACAACCTCTATAGTGTGAATGTTTGTTGGGCGATTGACAGACGACGAGTGTTTACGCCAACGCTATTGGGCAAGAGTGGGAAAAGGTAATCACAGTCAGTGGAAGCAGTTGATCGCGTCCACACAAGAGGCAGCCGCTCCACACCGAAAGGTCACACGGCTCATGTGGTCAGGCTGATTTGGATGGGAGAAAGGCCATTTTCACGGTTGGGCATAATTGCATAAAAGGCGAATGCCGTCGAGGAGGTGTGGTCAGTCTGCGCCTAATGGCGAGGTCAACGTTGGCAGAAAAGATAAGAAAAGTCGACATTTCCAACAATTCTGCTCGGCTCAAGGCAGAGTTGACGTACAAAAGAGGCAAGCGTCCAACGTGTTCTGGTCGACGTGAATGAGAGACAATTCAACGGCAAGCCTCGCCCACCAGCATACACACTCGCAAGTGTACAGGGCGGAATGTGGGATCAAGGGACGGCGGGACTGACGAACGATTGGGACAAGACGGAGGCACGACATGTGGACGCGGGACACGAAGGAGTGACCAACCAGCAGTAGACCTGGCTGACCGGCTCAACGAGGAGACAGCCAATCGGTGGCGAGTGTTGAACGGCGAGGCAAAGTCGATAGCCTAAGCCCGAGGTGGACGAGCGCGCTGATTGGTCGACTGTCGTCTGGCCTACAAAGGCTATCCCAACTACCGGCTTGCGAGTTTCGCCTTGGCGATCTCCAGTGCACCAGTGTTGGGCAATCTGGCGGAGACGCTATTCGAACGTTGGGATTAATCCAATCGGCCCGACGACCACTTCTGCGCGGAAGTACGTTCCAGCACCATTGGCCTCTTCGACGGAGATGCTGGTGAGGGTCATGTTGATCGCCTTGATCGTGTGGTGTCAAGTGCTCTTGTCGGCACATGCGGTTGCGCCAAAGGGGCACCCCAAGGGTGAGCCGATTGATGATGACGCAATTTGCTTTCGTCTGCTTACTGCATTTGAGCACTTTTGCAATTCATACAATTTATCACATCATTGCATATTCATTTTTCATTTTCATCACTACACGATTGAATCATTTTTCCAATTCATCATATCATTG